AGACCATTTTTAACCTGAAGAAAGAACAAATTTACATCTGTTGCCTTGTCTGTCAATTGTTATAACACAGCTGTGGCAAGGACCACACAGAACCAGACTACAGTGAGAAATCCCCAGAGCTTTGCTTTTGTCTTAAGTGTCCATGCAAGGCAAGACATCACTATGGGGAGGAAATAAAGAAAGAAAACAGTCTAAAGTATGCAATTCCCTCTGATCTTGCATTCTTGAGAAAGCTAGGCTGGGATGACAGTCCTCACCCATATTATTTATGTTCCTTGCAACTCCTTAAAAGTCTTACTTTACCTCTAACTCCACTACTCTTTCCCTAACTTACTAAAACAAACAAAAACTTCCTTCAATTTTGAGAGAGGGTGACATCTTGAGTTTTTTCAATCTCAAGAAAGAAAAGTCTAACCAGAGGGAGTTAGGAAGATACAAACAACAAAGGAGCACAGAAAGTTTATGAGTGGTGGCAGCATATTTTAACTTTGCAAATGATCAATACATTTGAGATTGTGAGGAGAATGAAAGTACACACAGTTCAGGCCCTATCTTGCAGTTTGATGGGGAACATGAAGCATGCTTGTGTGATCACATACTATCTGGGTGACCTTGGGAAGTACCTCAGCTTTCTCTTCTGCAGAAGGGTGATAATAATGATGTTCCTTATGAGGCTGTTGTGAAGATAATCACGTAAAAACATGTCAAAGGGTTTGAAATACTGCCAGGCACAGAGTGCACCCTATTGCTATTATGATGTTGGTAACGTTGGTGTATAACTGTGCAGGTGATGACTTGGGGAGGCCGTAGTGAGGAGAAAAGACCAAGTGGAGAGTCAACCTGCCTACATGTTGGTGTCTATGGATATGCCTGCAAAACAACAGCATAATATTCATGCAGCTTCCCCTGGAGCTGCTTAACCTGGTTAGGATGCAGGCTTCAGGCAGCGGTCAAGCACACCTCCTTTTGAACATTCTACTGGGGGTCGGGGGATCAGAACCTACAAGGAGGCAAAGCCACGTATTTTCTTTCCTGAAACTGAAGCGTTCATTCCGTCCTTTTTTTTTTTTTTTTCTGTAAAGAAAAGGCTTTTTCTAGTCATGGCTAGATATGAAACCTTGCTCTTCAAAGAGCTGAGAACAGTTTTTCATTGCAACAGTATACTGTGCAATTATGATGAAAAGGCCAGAGGCCTCTCCATCTTTCCCGTATTGGCTCTGAATGCAGCATATTTGTTTCCTTCCCACCCCAACGCGGTTCTGGTTTGATGGACAATCTCCTTCCTCGGGGACCTCCTTTACCCCTTATTCATAGCCAACCCCCATCCCCACCACCACCCCGCATCCTTTGTCTGACCCCAACCCTCCCCACTCCCAGCCCCGAAGGAATTGCATATTTCAGTGGGCGTCAGGGGGACCCCCGCGGGGTCAGGGTGGAACTCACCGAGGGCAGCTGGGGAACCTAGCACGGCCTGGGCCTCGGTCCGGGTCTGGCCTGAGCAAGCGAGCTGGATAGCTCCTGCGTCACGCCCTCCGCATCTTAGCTCCGCCCCGGCCCCTCCTCTAGCAGGTGGCAGTGGCCTCCCGGTAGCTCCCGAAACGCATCCCAGGCGCTGGCGCCTCTCTGGCCTGGAGCCGCAGCAAGGCCACGGGTTCTGCCTACTCTGAAAGCGCCTGCATACCCTCTTCCTCCATCGACCCGGGCGGAGGTCTTTCACCTCCTTTCTCTTCTCAAGCAGTTATCTAAACAACGTGCCTGACGGCCACTGTTCAGCATATCTTTAATTTTGTCCCGCAAACAGAATAGCTTGTTTTTTAGTTTTTGTTTTTAATTAATTCCTAGCTTAAAGAGGGAAGAGGCAATAGTAGACATGACAAAAGATGATCCTAAGGATTTTTTAGACTGGCAACGATAAGATATATACTGCTTTCAGAAGTCCTTTTACTTGAGCAGTAAAACCGTGAAGATATTTAACATAAGACGCTAGAAACTTCTGTTAAAGTGGCACACTTGGAAAGTCTAAAAGTATTAGCTGTGTTTTTTTAAAGTCACCCTTTATGCTACATTAAAAAAAGTATACATCTATCCATAAAGCTGTACATTCTTCCTTATGAAAATACTATTATATTGTCTTTTGTGTCAGAATAGTTTACAAACCCACTATTCTTTATTTTTACTTAATGGGAGAGACAGACTTGCTCAAGAGTCCTGTTCTGGGAGTTTGTTGTTTTAAAAGCAAACATCAAAACCAAGAGAAAGGAAGACTTAAGCATAAGAGCAGGGGGCTGCTTCTAAAATGGCAGGGGCCAATTTGCAGACAAGATGAACAAGGTTGGGTGTGATGACCCACGTGTGTAATCCCAACCACTCAGGAAGCTGAGGCAGGACTTCAAGTTCGAGGCCAGTCTTAGCAACTTGATAAGACCCCATCTCAAAATAAAAAATGAAAAGAGTTGGTTCAGTGGTTAGCCACCCCTGGGTTCAATCTTTGGTACCAAAAAACAAAAACAAAGTATGAATACAACATGCACTGATTCATTCAATCTACGGCCCAGAAAATCATTCTTGAGTCTTTGCGCCCAGGGTTAACTTTAAAGCAATTAACATGGGAAATGGGATCTGGGAAGTTAGCTCCAAAGGTGGAGTTCAAAAAGCAGCAGAACTAGCAGGAATGGGCATAAAAAGTGTTTGGCAAAGAGCACCTTTTAGTCCAATTTGAGTCAAGAAATCCAGGAAAGGCAACTGGCTGCAGGGAGGGGAACTTGGAGGTAAAGGAATAAGGTGGAGTTGGGGATTCCTGAGGAGCAACAGGAGGATACCCAGGTTGATCAGATATTCTACCTGCTCTAAAGGTGATTTGGTCTGGGAAACTTGAGGCCTTCTGAGGACCCCTCATCAAAGCCTCTGAGAAAAATGAAGGAAATGGATTTCTCCCCAGTGTAGGTTTCCATTTTTCTCCAACCTAGAACAGTATTAAGATAAAGACAAATGTATATTATGTCTAGGGCAACCTTCCATAGGAGCTCAGCACCAAGGAGAAAAAAAGTGCTCAAGATTTGGCATTTAGTGCCAGCCCCCACAAGACCCAAGTAACATGTAGAACAGGATTACCTGCAAAACCCACCAGCCAGCCATAATCCTGAGAGCTCACCAGGGCAGCAGGAGGTTCTGAGACCCTGTATTCTGAGTTCTATTTCTAAACTCCCTCACCAAGGAAAAACTACACTCTGCAGAAATAAACACAAATAGCTCCAGAGTTTATATTTTGTGGTTCTGGGAATCAAACCCAGGGGCTTGTGGCATTTCTAATCTTTAAGGAATTAATTTTTGAGTAGGGATGCCATGAGGTCCTGAGCTTCCTCCATAGTATCCGAGAGAGAGAGAGAGAGAGAGAGAGAGAGAGAGAGAGAGAGAGAGA